TTTTTTTTTTTTTTTTCCCATCCACTTTTTTAGCATCGATCAAAGTTAAGGGTGATTGTCCCGTGAGTAACTAAGGCAAATTTGTCTCTGTGTGTGTGTGTGTGTATGTATGCGTGTGTGTTTCTCTCTACTTTTTTGTTTTGATTTTTTTCCGTTGTTTTGTACATAAAGCAATCACATAAAAATAGTTATAAATAGAAAAATTGCAAAGGTTTATCCCCACTTAGACAAATAGGAAAAAAAAAAAAAAAAAGAAAAAAAGAACCCAACCAACCTAACAAACAAACCGAGACAGAAAAAACACCTTGCTTCAAGTCCTTGCAGATTATACAGTACTCAGCATCTTTGGATATTTTACAATGACTCCGAATAGTAGACAAAAAAACACCTGAAGGAACCAGTCATCTGCAAAATGTTGCTTGCTGTAAGAACTTGATATGGATTAAAAAGAAAAAGTTTGTCGCAGTTTTAAGAAGATTTTTTTTTCTTCTTCTCTTTTTCTCTCCGTTGACTTTCGTTGCACGTGGAGTCTCTGTGGATTTCTTTTGTGGAGGAGGAAGCGAGTGCTGGGCAGTTCCTTGGGATCATTCTGCTACAGGTGGTCTCAGAGCAGAAGTCCTTCAAACCCTCATGGGGGCAGAACCCAGATCCTGTGTGTCCCCCTCCATGCTCTGGTGGGGAGGTTCTCATCCAGCCACCACTCCACTGATGGACAAACCAAAAAATTCATGAACCCGCGGTCCTCTCGTTCCCTTTGATTTTGCTGATGTTGAAAGGTAACGGTAAAAAGAGAAATAAAAAAGCCCCAGTTTGTACCATTTACATATTCAAGTGCCGGTTTCATGTAAAACCAGCTTCCTGGGACACTCACTGCAAGACATGTCAGCCAATGCTGAAACTGGGGTCCCACCACATCTCCCTCCCATGGCTCATCTAAGAGGAGCCATGGGAGGCAGATGTTCACCAAAACCCTTTATCCATCAGAGTAGCTCATGGTTTCAGAGCTGAAGGAGGCTGACAGGGCAATTCCAGCCAATCTGCTGCTCTTTTGGCCTCAAAAGAACCCTTAGATGGAGCAGCCAAGACCTGCAGGGATGCTGGGGAGACACCCCCAACCTGTTGGTCACCTTCAGCTTGGAGTACCCTAAATATGTTACCCTCTTATCTTTTGAGCTAACAAAGAGTGAAGAAATAGCATTTCTGCTTGCTGGCAAGTAGACAATATAACCACCAAGACACCTTTAGTGAACTTCTTTTTCACAAAGATCCCTTGAGACAAGCAGCAGGGATATTTCCACACTCAATTTTTTCCCCCATCAACACACATGAGTGTGTTTTGTAAATTTTTGTCATCAAAATATATATATATAGGAATTCGAGGGAACTAAGGACAGAACCCCAGACTTTTCAGAATGGTCAGTGGCGGCGAATTCTGACTCTTTGGTTTGAAACGACTTTTTCATTTCGAAATTCCCACGTGGTTCATTTTCGCAAAGCAAGGGTTTAATGAAAGCTCAATATTGAAACATTTCTGATTCTTCCAAAACTTTTCCTTCACCTTTTCAAGCAACTGAAGTTAAAATACTCAAAATAGGCTTTGGTTCTCCTTTTGAAATTTTGAAATAGCTAAAGAACCAAAATAAGTAAATCCCCCTTTTACACCCAGCTTTGCAGCTGGGTGATTTTTTATCTCCTTTTTTTTTTTTTTTTTATGTTTTTAGGGTCCCAACTCATGCTGCAGATCAAGGGCTTTCACCAGCCCTGTAAATCCGATATACTGCTGAGAAAGTCAAAGGCCAGGATCCTCCCTCTCCCAACATGGCTGCTTGACCCTCCCCTTTATCCCTTGTAGGATAAATATTGCTGCCAGACATGGGAATTAATTAAAAAACAAAAAAAAACAAACCGAACCAAACAAACAAACAAAAACAAAATCAAAAAAAAGAATACCAAAAAAAAAAATCAAAAAGAGAAAAGTCCTTTTGACCAAAAGGGCCAAGGAATGTAACAGAACAAAACCAAGTCTGGACGGCTTGTTGGTGTCCAGTGGGCTCTGCAGGTGGAAAATGGGGAGTATTTCCCCCAGAAGAGCCATCTCAAAGTGATGGCTGTGCCCTGGACTAAGGCAAGTGACATTTTCGGGAGTGTTGAAGAGAGCAGCAGTCCTGGCCTGGCCTTCCCAGATGGAGCCATGAGTGGTGGGTGGCTGGGTGGGACAGCGAGTGCCTGATGGCCCCAAAGCCAAGTGCATCCAGAGTCTAAAGTGCCAGTGGCCAGGGGGCACAGCACCTGCCCACTCCTTGCTCTCCCCAGGGACAACCCAGTGCCCCAAGCCCCATGTCAGCAAGGGGACAAAGAGTTTATTGGGAGTCCAGTGATGCAAAAGGGCAGGTGGGGGCCCCGAGGGAGCTGGCTGCCTTGCTGGGAAGAGAGCAGGCGCATGGTGGGACCGGGAGCGGGTTTAGTTGCTTGCCTCTGAGATGGGAGCCACGTGGCCCAGCCCTGCCAGGCCACTGAAGCCTGTGCTCCAAGGGTCGGGGAGCGGGAAGAAGGGCTGGGCAGCGAGGTTTTCATTGTGGCCCAGGGCGAAGGCGAAGATCCCCGCGTTCCTCTCCATGTCCATCTGGGCCCGCCTGAAGAGCTTCCTCTGGGTCTCCTCGAACTGGCTCTCCAGCTCCTGCAGGCTGAAGGAGGCCTTGGCCCCGCTCAAGAAGTGCTTGGGG